TTCTGTCTCAACGCACTGGAACTTCGATTTTCTCTAAGGGCGTATGCACATAGAAAGCTGGCTACCGGCGCCGATCTACCAGCGCTTATCGGCGCTGGTCTGTTCCGGCAACCTCTACATAAAGCAAGCGGATTTAAGCAGAAGCTCGCTGGCGTCTCTATGTCTATGCTTTGTGTCTCTCTGAGCAGCGAGCAAAATGTCGAGCTCCTCAGATGAAGATATCTTTCTATTAGAAAATGTGTTTCTCAAAATGCGCAACAAAGTGTACACCCCATAAATAGAAAAAGAAAAATTTACGGAGAATATCATCATTTATTTCAAGACATTAAAGCAGACAAACAATGATTTTATAGATATACAAGAATGACTCCAGAAACATTTTACTACATTTTGGATAAAGTAGAACATCGATTGATAAAAAACTGGTGTAATTGGCATCAACAACCTATTCTCCCAGAAGAAAGACTTGTTGTTACCATTCGGTACGTATCAAACATTTTTAATTTAATTATCAGGGTATTCTGATAGGCCCTCAGCGAAAGACTGTAAATATGTGCTTATTGGCGCATGGAATGCTTTTGATACAGATTGAGTTGCGTGTGATTCTGGTGTGTGAGGTGTGATTGGCGGTGAGTAGAATGATTGTGCTTCCGGTTGAGTTGCTTGTAATTCTGGTGTATGGCGTGGGATTGGTGTTGAGTGGAATGGCTGTGCTGCTGATTGGGTTGTGTATGGTTCTGGTGTCTGACGTGTAGACTGAATTGCATGTGGTTCCGTAGAGCAGCTAGAGAGAGTTGAAGGTGAGAGTCGCGGGAACTGGGACTGGTATGCATAAATGTCAACTGTTCTTTGAATATCATTTCTAAACGAAAGCAACCGCTCTTGTGGAATTTTACGAATATGAGGCAAAAGACTTTTCAGAAACAGTAGATGTTCATCGTCTTCAAGTTTTATCGCTTTTTGTTCCAGGTATTCCAACTTTTTTCTTTCAATATCTAGCATACTTTCATTGAATGGGTTGGTTGTTTTGTTTTGTTACGTGGAACTGAATTGGTGTCATTACTGTTTTCTTCTAGTGCATGATGTGTACTCGTATCATTGTCTTTACTGTCGTCGGAATTATTAGTCTGTTCTACAGATCTGCTAGATGAAGCACGTTTCAACGATTTGGTTAAATTTCCTGAAGAATTTCTTGCTTTGACAATATCTTTCAGGAACATTAGGGAATAATAATATGGCCATTTCGGCTCATACGAAGTCGAAGCTTCATCTCCAGATCGAGGAGCAGGAACTTTCCCATATTCAGTCGCGAACTGATCCCTTAAATATTTCCATTTCTTCCTCAGTTTGTTTTCTGGAAAAAAACAGTCGTATTATTTCTTACAGGTATCTGGCAACAGGGGCAACAGGGGCAACATTTGCACATTTGGCTTCTGAATTTAGAATGGGTCTTTCCACAATAAAGGATATTATAGAAGAAACAACGAATGTATTGTGGGATGAATTACATCCAGTACACATGCCCATACCTACAAAGGAGGCTTTTCGTGCAATAGCAAATGACTTCAACAATATTTGGAATTTTCCAAATGTTTTAGGGGCAATCGACGGAAAGCATGTGCGCATACTCTGTCCAGATGGATCAGGGTCCATGTTTTACAATTACAAAAAATATTTTTCTGTCGTGTTACAAGCAGTCGCAGATGCAAACTATAAATTTATAACAATTGATATCGGCGGGTTTGGTAAACAAAGCGACGGTGGAACATTCAAGGCTTCAGAACTATACCAACGTTTAAGTACTGGGCAGATGGATATTCCAGAAGCAGAATATTTACCAGGAACAAATGTGAAAACACCATATGTTTTTCTAGGTGATGAAGCGTATCCTCTGCTGAGATACCTACTAAAACCTTTCGGAGGCAGAAATTTGCCTTCAGAACAACGCAACTTTAATAAACGTCTATCAAGAGCTAGAAAAACTATAGAGTGTGCGTTTGGTATAGTAAATTCGAAATGGCGATTGCTTTCCAAATGTATTGAAACCAATATTGATGTAGCTGACCAAATCGTTAAGTGTATATGTGTTTTACATAACACTATCATTGATAAAGAAGGTATCAACCGTAACTTAACTCCTGTTCATTTAGTACGAAGAAGGTGGAATAACTCAGGGCACGACTCAAATGAGGCAATGGATATCAGAAATATTTACGTCAATTATTTTTTACATAACTCACTAGCTTACAATAATTAAGTGTTTATTGTTAATAAATTCAATAAGTAAATAAACTCACCGTCTACATCCATCTCGGCACTTATTTCCCTCCAGCATTTATCCACCACGTATCTGTTTGAATGCCTTTTGTCTCTTTTATCCCAAACAGGTGGTTTACTAAAAACTAACGAAATCAGTATATCAATATCCATATTATTAAACGCGGTGTTGTTCCCTTGAAAATTAAGCCGCAAATGGCAGTTTACCAGCGCTTATCGGCGCAGGTCGGAACCGGTCAAAACTTGTCAGCGCCGTTTGGCGCTTATCGGCGCTGTTTCGACACAAAGTATAGAAACTGCCTGCGCCGGCTGCCTGCGCGCACCGGTTCCGATAAGCGCTGCTAGATCGGCGCCGGTAACCAGCTTTCTATGTGCATACGCCCTAAGGGTGGAGACTCGCAGAGACTTCCCCTTCCACAAATAAAACAACTGGTATTATGCACACCTCTGATAGTTTCCAAATATTTTTTACCACAATGGTAAGGTTTTGATACTTTTCAGCCTTGGTGTATTCGGTTTTAATTGTCTTTTGTGAGTGGCACCGCGATGTCGATTATGTTTGCTTTATATCAATCAGTAGTATGTCTGGCGGGTCATAGTCATCTGTCTTATCGGTTACGACTGGCCTGTCTCAGTACAATAGGGACTACTGATTCTCGAGTACTAGGTACGGTGTATTCAGGGTGTTCATTTGAAAGCTTGCCATCACGGATTTATCGAAAATCACTGACTAAAAGAAAAAACGCCGAGACCTGTCAAAAGATTTTTCAAGAGGGACAACTTCACCCCCTTTCACCCTCGACCCCTCAGGGTCATTCCCAATTTTAAATGACAACGGGGTATCGAGTTATAGCTGGTTTGAAGGGTCTTCACTTTGACGTTTGATTGTTTAAAATCAGTCGAATCGTTTTCGCGAAAATTAGAGAAATCTTTATTTATCTGAACACACGAAAATATCACTTTTTACTTCAATAAGTGTTCAAAATGTTGCCCGTTTGGGCTTGACAAATCTACAGTTTGTTTATGATTTAAAACGGAAACTCCAACATAAACAGCAATTCGGAAGATTAGAAGTGGCAGCAACCAAATAACAACCCGAATTTTTTCCGCATTTTCTTCATCAACACAGATATACTGGTCGAACTGTATTATTTATTGTAATACCTGTTTAGTTATGTATGTGTTTTAAGCGAAAGAAAGAATTTAATTTGCTGTCTGTTACCTGTGTGACAATCTTAGGATAGTGAAAATTAATTTATTGATTCAGATTTTACTTCCAAAATGGTTTACACACTAGCCGAAAAAGCGGAAGCGATTCTGATGCCCAAAATCAATGGGCTCGGCAAACTGGCGTCACGATTAACGCCACACATCCGGGGAATATATCTTCGTTTAGGTCTGTTTTGGATCTTGTTACTGAATTTACTCAAACTGGATCTGTTGCAAATAGAAAACGTGATCATCGGAGAGTCTTGGATGAAGCCGCTCAAGTTGAAATTTTGGGTCATTTTGGAATAAATCCTATTACATCATTACGCAAATTTTTTGCTGCGACTAGTATTTCGTTAGGCTCTGTTTACACAGTTACTAAACTCTATAAATCACGTCCGTTCAAAATGAAAATATTGCCGAAGATGATTTCGATGGGCGAGTTGAGTCTTGTGAACAAATGACTACAGCGATTAATGATAATACCATTCATGTGAAGAATATCTGCTTCAAGAATGAATGAACATTTTATCCAAATGGACTTGCTAATAACTCATTACCCCCAAAAAATTAATCTATAGACAGGCATTTTAGAAATCAAAGTGACTGGGTCATTGTTTATTAATGGAAATTTGAATAGAGACATTCATTTGGATATGTTGGAAAATACCTCCAATTCGCTTATCACTGAAACCATTGAAAACCAAATCGAAGAGGAGGAAAACCCTATACTTGATGAGGGTGAAATATATTTCCAGCAAGACGGCGCTCGTCCTCACTCTGTTCTTTCGGTTCGGCAATGGCTAGACGACGAGTTTCCAGATAAATGAATAGGGCGAAGAGGGCCTATAGAATGGCCTGCCAGATCTCCTGATTTGACGCCATTAGACTTTCTTCTATAGGATCATTTGAAATCTATTGTGTTTACTTCCCAACCTGAGGGTTTGGATGAACTTCGTCAACGCATCATCGAAAGCTGCCATGATATCCCACAACATGTTTTTGAAAATGTCCCTGAGAAATATGAACATCGCCTATATCATTGTTTGGCCAATAACTGGCTACATTTTATAACAAATTATGATAAATAAAGATATTTCTAGTTTTCTTGAAAACGTATCGACCGATTTTAAAAAATCAAACCTCAAAATTAAGGAAAGCATACGAAATTTTGAGAGTAATTTTCTAGTTTCTCGATCGATTTCAGCTACGTTTGAATGGTTCCATTCATTATTACTATTATTATTATTATTATCGGTGGGCCCTGAGAAATTTCTATGACGTGTGGGGCGCCATCTTGCAGCGAGGTCAATGACACATGACGTTTGACAGATGACAGGTGCAGCGCCATCTAGCGGCGGAATCACCAACTCATCAATGGTGCATGACGTCATTCTATCTCTATCCAATACATCGTCAACCTTTTGGCTCGCCCTGTATAAAAAAATCTTGGCTCACCCTGTATACTACATCTTACTATCATAACCGCAGGTGAACGCAACAACACTGATAAGGCTCTCGGCAGTCGGCCGTCGGCTGTCTGGGTCACTTCCGGTGAGATTACTTAGATTTTGTTAGGTTTTGTGCAGCGCCTCTAGCGGCGGATTTTAAAACTAGTGCGGTACAAACGGCTTAGCCCATCTACTCATGTAAAAACTGTAGCACATATGGTACTACACTCTCAGATTTGAAAGCGTTGGTGATTTCTTTGCAAGAACAAATAAATGCTCTCAAGACTAACCGGATAGATTCAGCAGAAACTTCCTCAACCGTCGACTTTGAAGAGATAGTCCAGGAATTGAATGACCGACAAACAAGGAAACAAAACCTGATTATTTATGGAGTACAGGAAAGTACAGATCAATCTATCAACCAAAGAATTGCTCATGACTCTGGTCAGGTTCGAAATACGATCGTATCTTGCGTGTTCTAGACATCGAAGAAGCTGAAACAGGAAATCGAAGAGCGCTCTGCCGGAGGTGAGACATGATTAAAAATTAAGTATGTTCACGGTGTCCCTAAAATTATAATAAAATAACAAAATATATAACAAAAGTACCCCTGTTCATTGCTACTTCCAAAATGTACGGGGCTTGAACACAAAAATTAATGACTTTTACTCTTCTGGTTACCATGTTGTGCGGTGTGACCGTGACTTAACAAGAACAAATTACGCGTGTGGTGAAGGTGTGCTGTTAGCATGTAATGATAACATTTCAAATGTTGAAAATATTAATCTTGAACATATTCGTAACGCTATTTGTTTAATTGATACACTGATGGACTTAGCTCAGTGTGCATATATGTTCTTTACATACCTCCCCAAATCACGCACGTATTTTAATACTCGGAGACTTTAACGTTGCAAACTTTACTAATGATACTGCCATGGCTCTTCATACCTTTTTAGAATATTCGGGTCTTTCCCAAACTAATAGTATATTGAACTCCAGTGGTGGAATGTTGGATTTGGTTATAGCGAATATGCCTCGTGAAACTGTTCGTGGGAATCTACCATTAATTAAAGAAGACTTACATCATCCTTCATTAGCTATAGAATTTGAAATTAGTCTTAGAAGTGCCTCTAATTTTGTCACAAATATTACAAGCACAGCTTATAACTTTAAGAGAGATAATTTCATAGGCCTCTACAATGCTTTTACGTATGTTGACTGGTCTTTTCCCGATAGTGTGGGGGATGTTGATCAAATGTGTAATTTATTCTATGATAGCTGTATCACATATTTGATTTGTATGTCCCTAAGTATATTAACCGTAACCACTATTATCCAAAATGGTATAGCTCGGAAATAATTCGAAATTTCAAATTAAAATGCATAATCAATACAAGCGGCTTAAATCAAGGGAAGTCTATGAGCAATTTTCGGGGGTCCGAGGACTTGTCAAACAATAAATAAAAGATGCTTACAATCAATATTTGCTGAATGTCGAAAATTATTTGATCCCGAATCCAGAGCACTTTTGGTCATTTATTCAATCTAAGAAGGGTTCATCTAGAATACCTGATCGGATGTCTCTCTGGGATAAAAGTTTTGATACCCCACATACGGTTATAAATGCATTTGCTGATTATTTTCAAAGTGTTTATGTCCATAACAATTCAAGCCAGCAACATTATCTGGATAGCCAGTATGATTGCGTTGATATCCTCAACTTTACGGATGAAATTATTTTAAAATCCCTGCTCAAACTACCAAATAAGTTGACCGCTGGGGAAGATATGATACCAAGCTTCGTAGTTAGAGATGCAGCCCACGTATTTGTAAAGCCTCTGAAGAAAATATTTAGTTGGGCCTTTATCACAGCAACATTTCCTACGAAATGGAAATCGGCAAAAGTATGCCCTATACTAAAAGCTGGTGATCCATGTAACATTGAAAATTACCGAGCTATTTCCATATTGGACAATTTTGCGAAGGTTTTTGAGATATCAATATACGACTGCATTTACCCTCTAACTAAGCATCTGATATTGGAATCACAGCATGGATTCATGCGGAACCGTTCAACCGTCTCAAACTTAATAGAACTTACTCGGGAAATAGCAGGTGTTTTGGATGATAAAGGACAGATGGATGTAGTCTATACTGACTTCTCAAAGGCCTTCGATAAGATGTCAGAATAAGATTATAAGCAAGCTGCCATATTTCGACTTTGACTTTCCTTTGCAGAAACTTATCACTTCCTTCCTTTGTGGAAGGACTCAATACGTCTCTTATAATGGTTTTAATTCTTTTGTTTATAATGTACCATCTGCGGTGCCTCAAGGGCAGCCGCTAGAGTTAAGAAGAATTAATAACAGTTTAAGATTTCTTTATAAGCTTGTCCATAATCAAATTGACTCTCCGGCCTTGCTAACCAAACTCAGTTTTCATGTGCCATCTCGCGCTTCACGTAGATGTCCGGCTTTTTATTTGAATACGCCAAGATCAAATGTTTTGATCAGGTCTCCCATATACTTTATGTGTTCCAACTTTAATGCAATAGCAGATAATTGTGATATTCAGTATGACAATATCGTTGAGGTAACGACTAAATCCAATGAATATTATTACACAATATTCAACTTTTGATGTGCATACTTTAATGGTATTCTAAATGGTAGTCGTCCTTTTCTAAATATTTTTTTTTCTATTTCGTATTGACAATTCTTTACATTTAAATATTTTATTTTTGTATGTTTTATGATCACTTTTGTTCTTTTTTACTTATATTGTCCTATAATGGATGCTTCTGTTGGGCAATAAAGAATTGTTATTATTATTATTTTTATTATTATTATTATTATTATTATTATTATTATTATTATTATTATTCTATTTCAAAACTTGAGATGAAGGAGCTTCATGATTATTCAAAGATTAAGAAGTATAAAACGCCATGTTGCAATTTGGAAAAATCATCACTGATTTTTTGGAAGCTTGTTTCTAAAAATATATTTTCTTATTTTATTTATTTTTCTCTTTTCAGTATTTATGATAATTAGTCTTATAACGACCTCATCTTGACTTGAGTGTGTTGGTCCCTGTTTGATCTTGGAGTTTTTACTGTACTTATCGTATTTCTCTCATCAAGCTCTTTAATCCATATTATAGGGATTACTATGGAAATAATAAATCACCATTCAGGGCCGTATCGTCAGTCGCTCCTACATTGTAGGACGCCTTGATTGCCTCCTTGATTATCATAGTATTTTCTTACCTTCAGAACGGTTGGGGCATTTCTGGATATCCACTGTTCCGTGTCAGCGTCAGCGCTCTCCCATTGTAAGGTTGTGCTTCCTTTTTGAATCTTAAGAAATTTCAGGCTGATAAAACAAATCATAAAAATCAAGTTTAATCAGCTTGGAAAATAGAGCCCTTACACGAAATAGTAAAAATCTAGAAATACCCTTGCCTCTCTGAAGGACAGGAAAAACTATGAAAATCGAGGAAGCCATAAAGGCGTCCTACAATATTGGACTCAAAATAACACAAATGACCTCAACAACATCTGTATATCGCTTACGTATGGACTAAGTACAGTTCTAAGAAAATGAACTCTTTTCTATAAGCGAATGCAGATGTGGAAATATCGTAGAAACAACTTGTAGCAAATTCAACAAGCTACAAAATTGTCTCGATAAAATTTTTTCATAGCAACATAGAAAAAAAGTTTTTCTAAAAATTTTCAACAATGACAACCGCAGGATCCGGAACTATTTCTGTTATCTAAGTAAAAAAAATTCATCTATTATAGAATTTGTGTTCCCTTACCGGGCTATTAAGAATTTGTGATGTTTCAGGCACAGCCTCTGGTGCATCACATTGCTATGCGTGCTTGCATTGTGACGATGCAGCTTTCAACGTTTCGACAGCTGGAAGAATGGAATGTGCCACCAACATTGTCACAGGTGCAACACCAAGAAGCGCAAACTGGGACGTGCTACAAACAGAGCTTAGAAAGCACGCCCACGTCTACCCAGCCGATATAGATACTGAGTATGCTTGCGCTAAGTACTCTTTTTCGTATTCTTTGAATGGAGAAGGTTAGTATATAACTAAGGTTCGGATTTTTATGTGGTATAAAACTGCAAAATATGTTTTTTTATGCTGTAAAAATATACGAAATATGGATTTTATATGTGGAAAAACTGAAACATAAATCTGCGAACACAAAAAAATAAACGCCTATATATTAATATATTATGTTTAATATAATAAAAAATATAATATCATATCAAATAATATTAAAATAAAAGTCAACAAAACAAAATAGGTTTTTCTGTAATGAACAGTACAATACTAATCCAAACTAACACAGACAAAAAGTTAAACGATAGGGTTGCAGTATAAAACTAATAACTGGTTAATGCTATCCATGCTTAAATTATGGCGTTTGTCTGTTAATGAATTTTTAAAAGCCGAAAATGAACGCTCCACATCACATGATGTGATCGGCGCAAATTTCAAGGAAGCTATGTCTGAAGGCTTCATTTTAATATCCGGATCACTTTGGTTCTGTCCTCTCAAAATGTAACAAACATTTTTTATTTGTTGGTATCCAGGATTGCGAAATAAAACACATTCCCATTTAACCGTAATTTTTTTTCCAATTTCTCCAGGAATAAGACTTAGTTCTTCAATCACCTTTTCTATGATTCTGAAAGAGTCGCTTAATGACAACTGGGTAGTTTCCAGCTCCATTATTGCTTTTGCTAACATGAAAAAATGAGCTTTAATAAAGGCTAAGTCTTCTAAAATGTTTGACTCTAGTATCGATTCCTTACAAGATCTAAGTACTATAGAATCAGCGTCAAGCGAAAAAAAATTTCTTTGATTTTTACGAAATTATCTGCATAAAACAAGGCAGCATTGAGCCATGTACCCAATCTTGTAATAACAGGCTCAGGTGGTAAGGGCAAGCCACGAGCCATTTCTTTGTAAAATTCTACCCTTAAGGGAGCTTTTAAAAAGACCTTTTTTCCGTTACTAATTAAATTATTAACAGAAGGATATTCTGCACGTACTAATTCGGCTAATCTATTCAATGCATGAGCTATACAGGTGAAATGTATTAATTCCGGGTAAAATACCAGTAAAGCTTTTCCAGCCTTGATCATATAAGCGGCCGCATCAGAAAGCATCAATTTTACGTTTTCTGATTTAACTGGATTTGGTGCATATAGTAGGGTTAAACTATCATTAATAAAACGTGCAACGGTCGAGTGATTGGTTTTTTCTAAGGCTGCAGAATTAATTAAATAAGACACTGGAGGGGTAGATTCGTTTAAAGTACCAACAAGTATATTGGCAACATAACGACCACATGCATCTGTTGTTTCGTCAACTTGAATATAAATATTTGTGTTGCATAACTTTTCCCTAATATTTTCTAGACGTACCTGCTAACATTTCTTCAAATAGTTTTTTAGATTCATTTGGGATATGGTGGTTACAATATTTTTCTAAAAATTTACGGAACGCCGGTTTTATTCCATGGTTTGTTTGATTGTGCCATGGAGTTGCATAAATCAAAATAAAATTCATTTTTAGAATCCTGGTGTTTGTTGCACTTTCCCGTTGAATCAATTCTCCATGTCCTTGTGAATGGCTGTAGCAAGGTGTTGATCGATCTGAAATTTCTGGTTTGAGGATAACTAAAATCAAACGAACTCTTAAAAAAAACTTTAAAGAAACCTTGAAATAATGAATATTCACAATAATAGCTCCGTATATAATGAAAGATTAATTAATTATTATATTAATACATATACTCACTTGCGTTGAACAGGCGTTACAGTATACAACTGTTCCATCAGTGGATAAATGTTTAGCATTCTTTATCCATTTCTTAAGTAAATCAGCTTTAGAGCTTGATACTTTCGGCATGGCGATCTTTTTAAATATTAAACGGCAGCGAAGAATAATACATGTTTATTTACTACTCAAGTTTTCTAAATAAAGATTGCAACAGATGCACGGCACGGCGCCAAGTTATTAATCGGGGAATCACCGATATGCTTTGGGGGAATCACCGATATGCTTTGTAGTCTTTATAATTTGTGCACCGTTGTCAGATTTACATAACAATGAGTAATAATAAATGTGTTTTTTATATATAACACATACAGCGTGACATAAAAGTCTCGGAATAACTCTATATTTTCTCGGATAAGGTATTTCTGGAAAAGAGCAAGGTCAGATCTTTAGTTACTGTTAGCAAGAAATTCAACGGTGATCTTGAATTTGACATTCAAGGTTAATTCACGGTCAACTTTATTTTTAAATAGAGACCCCTTGGTTATGACCTTGAATTTCCCCTTCAAGGACTTTTTTTTAATTGAACCAGTATCGGATAAAAATCATTTGTAAGGAGCACCGCAATTCCCTTGTTAACCCTTTCCGTTCTACTGGTCGATCCATGTAACCACCTATATTAAAACACGGAATTTCAGCCCTACTGGTCGGGTAGCCTTACCGCGGTTTAAAAGTACCTATTACAGTTAGTGACATCTATCGGGAAAAAAATTGACGGCTCTGCCCCGTGCGAGGAAGTGTGTATTCCGTGAAGTTTCTTTATCCATTGCGAAGGTTCCGCGTGTGTCTTTTTTCGGCTGTTTGTAAACGTGAACACACTGAGTGAAAATTGAAATGACACGTCAGTATTTAGTTTTAAAACTGTAATATTTCATACCTTCCGACTCAGTTGATCAATTGACCATCTGACTGGGTTTTGTTCACGTTTTGTTCCATGTAATATGTAGTGGTTCCTTGAGGTAACCACTAGGACTGTAAACGGTCATTTATTTTTTTTTTACAGAAAAAAATAAATGGAGTGGATACAAAGTTTGGGTGCGGGCTGATGATTCAGGGTATATTTGCGAATTTCAAATATATTCTGGTAAGATTGGTGACTTGCCACAAAAAGATTTAGGAGGAAGAGTAGTCAAAGACTTGACAAGGGATTTGCAACAACAAAATTATAGAATTTTTTTGACAACTATTTTTCAAGTGTTCCACTGCTCAGCTACTTGAAACAAAAATGGAATTATGTGGTTGTGGCACTTGAGAAAAGGGAAAAAATATTTGCCAGATGACTTTATCGATGATAAAAAACTAGCGCGAGGCCAATATGACTGGAGAATGACAAATGATATAGGGTAGAGTAGGGTAAATCGTACCGATTTTTAAATAATTGACCACTGTACTCAGAAATTAAACTCTTTAGCATTCATATTAGCACACAAGCAAATATAAACATTTATTTTCTCCTTAATCAAGAGTTTAACTAAATCAAACAACATCTTAAGCAAAAAAAATACAAAAATAAAAATGCTTGCAAACGGTACGATTAAGCGAACAGGTTGGTTTAATCGTACCGTCGGTTTTTAAATCGTACCACTAACTTTTTATTTACAGTTCTCACACTCATATTTTTTTATTTGCTTTTTAGTTCCTGCACATGATGTGTGGGCCCATTTCTCACATTTCATACATTTCACCATATCCTCAATAATGTTCTCTTCACATATATGGCAGTACCATTCAGTAGTATCATATTCAATTTGAGCATTTACTACATCAGATTTTGAAGTGGAAGATTGGTCGTCACGTGCTTCGAAAAGGGAAGTAGAAGAAAGCCCGAGATTTTTCTTTACTTTTTTAATTGAGTTCTGCCTTTGATTACGCTTGCTCTCCAATTCATCTTTATAGGGCGTACTGCTTAAAATGACGGCTGGTTGAGACAATTTTCTTTTCTTAGCATTACCTTTATTCTCAGGTAAAGGATAAATTTCTTCAATGGAGGTATTCAGATCTGTTGAGTTGCAATTGTTGTTTAGTTCAGTACTATTACTTTTAACTGGTCGCTCAGTAGCTTCGTCTTCAGGCTCAATAGTCGTTTCACGTGGATTTATTGCCCCTAAATCATCCCTTGCTGTTTCTGAATCATTTTCAAGCAAGGCGCTAGCAGCGACAAAATCTGCATCAGAAAATACAGTACGGTCAACCGGTCATATTCCAGTTCTTTTAAAACCACCCATGATGTTGCTTATTGATGCAGTTTTTGCATAGGCATCAGAGAGCAATCCAGTCATGTTATATTGAGTAACAGTGTTACCAGGATTGCTTCTCAAAAATGTTTCAATACCTTGAGAAAAATAGGATTCCATAGGTTTAAAAAAGCTTACGTCTAATGGCTGTAACCGATTTGTAGTATGGCCAGGAAGTTGCAGTAGTACAATTCCATGCATTTTTGCTAAAATGAGTGCTTCCAGATTTTTTGAGTGCGTTGTGTGGCCATCCAGCAAAAGCAAAACTTTTTTTTCGGTACTTGGTTTTACGTACTCAATGAAGTGCTTAAACCATTTAATAAAAAGTTCGCTATTTATATATCCAGTATCTGAAATTGTAACAATAGTGCCAGATATTGCACCTATGGTTAGCTCTGGAGCCATACGTTTTCTCTTGAAAATGATCATGGGTGGTACAGTTTGACCGGCAGCACTGGCACAAACGACAACTGTGGTATTTACGCCCCTCTCACCACTTGCTATACCTCCAACTTGGTGCTTTCCTCTACGTGCAATTATTTTTTGATTCCGTTTTTGAACAGTTGAAAATCCACTTTCATCAACATTATAAGTTGTTTGAGCCGTAAAACAGTTTTCATCAACACATCTTTCTAAGATATCAAAAAACTCATGGACGTTTTTTTGGTTGAATCCAGTTGCTCTAGCCATGGAGATTTTCTCTGGTTGCCTTAGTGACAGTTCAGGATGTCGGTTCATAAAAGAATAATACCATCCTTTTCCCGCCATTTCTTTGTTGATGTTGAAGCGATGTGGAATATCTTTTATATATTATAATATTTCTTCCCAACCGCATATTCAACACCTGGAATAGTTTACCTGAAAGTGTGGTTGGTGCTACTTCAGTTAATAGCTTCAAAGTGCAGTATGATAACTGGAGGAGTGTACAAACTTTATAGCTATGAACTGTCTTGATTTTTTCTATTTGATGTATTTGTGTTACGTGTCCGTACACTATATTTACTGCATGAGCGTATAGTACTGTGTACTCTGCTCATCTCAATTATCATAATAATAATAATAATAATAATCATTCCGAACAGCTATTTGGAAAGCCAATCGTCTAACATCCCAAATTGTTACACCAAAAAATCTTTCTTCCAGCTTCAAAATATGTTTTGTGACGACCCAAAGACTTGACATTTTCATTTGCCTTTTTATTTAAAGAGCGCAAATGCCTTCTAAAAGTTGGCTTTGGAATGTTATAGCGCCTGCAGCATTCATTAAAACCACATTGGTTTTGTTTGTATGCATTAATTGCATGATCCATATCTTCTGAGGTCCATCCACAGTATTCCCGTTTTGTTTTTTCTTATTATTTACTTTACTCATCTTCTTTTTTGAATTCCTGTAACAAAAACTTATGAAAAATGGAGCAAAAAGTCTCGGTTGGGTAAATCGTACCGGTACGACTTACAAAACTGTCGGTGGTACGATATACGACACAAGCACAATTTCACTTTTTTATATAAAATTTCAACCTAAACAAACGTATTTCCAATTGATAATTTCAGCAACAACTAACTACACGTCCATAAAATACGTGAATAATACATCTTAAAAGTATCTACTTACCAAATGTAAGAAAAAAGCTTATGAACCGGAGCAAAAAATAACATCAACAACACTGCTCTTAATTTAACCTCAAACTGACTGACAGGGTGAAGTGAGCGGCAATTATTAGCTTGGGCGGGAAAAATATAATCCTCAAAGCTTTTGGATTTTGCCAAGAGATGCCACGAGTAGTAAATAATTCTCTTGAAAACGGTGGTGGTACGATTTACCCGGCGGTACGCTTTATCCGACTTTACCCTATTGGTATGTCTAAAATGGAAAGACAAAAAACCTGTTTATTTCTTGTCAAATTACCATAACAATCAATAGAAAGAATGAAGATGGAACTGTGTCAGAAGTAACTTGTCCGTCTTTGGTTGTGGATTACAATAAACATATGGGTGCCGTCGATAAGGCGGACATGCTAAAAGAATACTACGCGATAGATCGAAAAAGCAAGAAGTGGTACCATAGGATAGTTTGTCACTTTGTCGATACTATGGTAGTCAACGCATATATTTTGTTTCAAAAACGCTGCTGCGGTTCGACTCTCGATTTGAAACAGTTCAGGATAAATGTCTCTTCAGGAAAAAAGGTCGAAAATCAATGGAACCCATAAATCATTATAAAAAATACGTTCCCATTGAAAAAAGGACAGAAAAATCTGCTCACATGCCTATATATGGAACTTCCAGACGATGCGCCATCTGCAGCACAAAAAAGGAAGCTCATAGGAATATGTGGAGTTGCACGATTTGCGATGTAGGTTTATGCCTGAATGACAAGAGAAATTGTTTTCTTGCATATCATAATGTCGATTAGCCTCATGTTGTGGAAAGATAATGCTTTGTTTCTTTGGTAAAAGTTTTTGTTTGGTGGTCCTACTGGTTCGTTCGTGTGACCACCACTTTTACAAAAAAATATGTGTAATACATTTTTTTTCACAAAATGTTTGACGTTTTTTACATCCTTTAGGTTCGGAACTAGGTCTATGAAGTGAAAATCCTAAAATTATTTAATTCCGGACACAAAGGGTTAAGAGTCACCCGAAGATCTGACCTTGCCAGTTATTTTCGTCACTACTCGTGTGAGATTTCTAGAAGTTTTCCTAGCAGCAAACATTTGATCTTTATGTGACCTCTAGCCGTCACCTTGACCTTGAATTCTAATGCACATTTCAGGCTCTCTGGATTTTGGGCATGAAATAGACGTTCTATTTGGAAAAAGAGTTGATCTTGAAATGACATTGAAGATGAGGTTCAAGGTCAAATCTATAATCGGTCGTCAAAAGTTACTATGGAACCAACCTTGCTAGTTATTTTCATCAGTAATTCTGTGAGTTTCATAGTGGTTTTCCTAGCAGCACACATTTGTCCTGCATTTGACCTTTAGTGGTCACCATGACCTTGGTCTTCAATTCCTATTTGAACGTAAAGTTCTTTAGATTGCAAATGATTTTTAACCGATACTGGTCCTGCGGGTTTTTATTTGGTGAAGAATTGACCTTGGAATGATCCTGAAGGTGGAGCTCAAGGTAAAATCCAAGATCACTCGCTAAAATTCATTACATACCTGATCTTGATAGTTATTTTCATCAATAATCCCGTGAGATTTGTAGAGGTTTGTCCTAGCAGCACATATTTGAACTTCAGCAGTCATCCTGTCTTTAAACTTTATTGGCATCAAAAATGGAGGTTTCTGATTGAAAAAATGAAGTTGACCGTAAATTAATCTTGATAGTGAAGGCCCTTGCTGAAAGCTGTTGAAGATCTGACCCTGATCTTTTCCAAAGATACCTTACCTGAGAAAATACAGAGCCGTTCCAGGGCATTTATTATTATTATTATTATTATTATTATGTCTTTATTGAGCATTGTTATATACAATGCAGAAATCTGCAACAGGGCGAAGTCTAGCCTAAGCTACTCTACTTAACCCTAAATAAAAGCTAACAAGGAAGAAAGCCACAGATAATACATAAAATGCAATCATCAGAAGTGATCAAATATAAAATACCATAGAAAATATGGGATAATTTGAATGAAAATAAACAAAAGCCTAAGACACAAAACCGCAAAGCGAAGAGTATATAATCAAAAACTATTGAACTATCCATTACATTGACTATTGTAATAAAATTGCCTTACCAGGACTTTAAACATCGGTACAGAACTAAACTTAAGCGCGTCATCGATACTATTGTATATAGTAACAGCATTATATGAAAAAGATTTTCTAAATAAGGATAAACGAAACTTAGGAAGAGAAAGTTTATTAGTGAACCTCGTATTTAAATCATGCAAATCACGCCTAAAGACTAATTTTCTTTTCAGGTAAGCAGGGCTCTGTGATGATAAAATACGGTGAACTAAAATAGAAGTATAATATTTATGAGTATATTCCAGTTTTAACCATTTTAACTCATTTATTTTAGCTGAGATTCGATCAAACTTTTTGAGCCTAAAAACAAATCTACAACAGCAATTTTGTACCTTTTGAAGTCTGTATTTCAAAATAGACGTTAAGAGGGGATAATAAAGCGTGATTGCATGATTTAAAATAGGTAATACTAGGCTCTCTGAGAGCTTTTTACGTAATTTAAAATTTAAAATACCACCATTTCGATACAGTAGCCTTAAAAGTAGGTAAGTCTTTTTCACTAATAGTGAGACGTACTCTTCAAATCTGAGCTTACAGTCGAAAATAACACCAAGATTTTTTTCACTTTTAACTACTGAGACTGATTTTCCATTTAATGTTAAGTCGATATGCTGCATAAAAATTTCATAACATGGCGGAGAGAAGATAACAACTTGACATTTATCTGGATTGAGGTTTAAGTTGTGATTAAATGAATATTTTTGAATATTTTCTAAATCTTGATTAATATAAGCAGATGTGGTATTTATAAATCTAGGATCGAACGACAGGTATAATTGTGTGTCATCAGCATAACCTTGTATCTTGCAATAAGTGATAGTTTTAAAAATATCAGACGTATATATAATAAATAGCAAAGGTCCTAATATGGAGCCTTGAGGGACTCCAGAAGTCACAGGCTTGAAGTCAGAATACGAGCTATTATCAACCACACTGGTAACGGCCCTGAAGGTAAGATTTGAAAAGTCGGCAGCCCAATTGATTTATACCATAATATCGTAACTTTGCAAGAAGTAAGCAGTGATCAATCGTATCAAACGCCTTCGAAAAATCAAGAAATACAAGAGCTGTAGCAAGGCCAGCGTCGAGAGATCTAATAATATCATCTGATACATTTAAAAGGAGCGAAGTTGTGCTATAGCCCCTTCTGAATCCAGACTGTGATTCAGGTATAATTTGGTTAGAAATCACAAATTCATATAACTGTAAATAGATCACCTTCTCCAGTACTTTAGACAGAGCAGGCAGTATACTAATTGGTCTTAAGTCATTATATACAGACGGTATGCTTATTTTGGGCAAAGGTTTTATAAGAGCATATTTCCATGAACTAGGATAATAACCAACCTCTATGCAGCAATTTATAATATGAGTTATGTGTGGGGCAGTTACAGAAATAGAGTATTGTAGCATTTTTGCACTAATTTCGTCCACACCATATGCGCTAGACGTTAGATCAAGAACCAGTTTTTTTACTTCATCCACATTAGCAAAATTAATAGAAAAAGAAATATTAGAAAATTTGGCTGAATTATAAAATGCAGTAGCTTCAGGACAGCTATTTGATGGACTAAAGACTGAAAGAAAATGACTATTAATTTCAAAAGGTTCTTTTAGCTGTAGAGGTATATCTGTATTATGTTTTCTTTTGATATTGAGGCGATTGACTGCTTGCCAGAGATCCCTATAGTTACGACAGTTTAGTGTTGATGACAAAAATACAGCTTTTTCATGTCTCAAAGCAGAGCACACATAATTGCGTAATTCTTTATATATAGCAAAGTCCGACAGTTTACCGGATTTTTTATACTTTTGCAAAGCTTGATCCCTTTTTTTCATCATAGCTTTGAGGTTAGGGGTAACCCACGGAGCAAAAGGTTTTGTTATGCGAGAGGTTCTAACAGGGGCATGTCTGTCAAAAAGATCGACTATTAGATTATTAAACAGCGCTACTTTATCATCGAGATTATTTATATAGAAAATATCATTCCAAGGTAAATTTACTAAGTCTGAATTGAAAGCATCATACGAAAAATTTCTGTAATCTCTGTATTTTAATATGAACGGCTTAGGACGCGATGTTCGGTGTGAGAGCTCAGCTTGTTTCACGATGTACATAATGTTACTTTGTGTATAAACCATCACACATTTTGTTTCAGTTGCTACAACCAGGACATGCTTGCCGAAGAAATACGGTAATCTGGAAGCCTGCGACTACTTGAAAACAGTAATACCAATAAACTACAACTTAGAGAGTTGCTTCACATGTGATACGGATTATTGCAATTCCAGTAGCGGGCTTAGTACATCTTTAGTATTTGTATTAAGTGCATTATTACTATTCAAATATGCCTAACGAAATTCACCCAATAACTGTCAAGAAGTTTATATTTCTTTACAGTTTTGGAGTAGAGGAAAACAAAGAATTATTTAAAAAGTGCTTTTCAAAAAGGTCTCCATTCCCTACGTATCTTTTGATGGATCAAGTTAGCAAGCTGAACTTCATGGTGCAGAAATTGCTATAGTTTAGTGTGAGAGTAGCAGTTAGAAAATTCAAAATGGAGGCAGGGCGCCATCTTGGAACAGTTTCAAATGGAACGAAGGGCCATTTTGAAGCTCGTAATGAGTAATAATTTATCCGGTAATCCAAAATTAAAATCATTATTCGTCAAATTGTTGAACTGACAGGCTGTCAAATTTGAGCGTTCTTTATATTGAGTCGGTTATATTTAACAATCAGTTATTAAAACGCTATAGTATGCAAGTCTCCTTGTTCTAAAAATCTAGTCAAATATGTAATAAAATACAAACCACTATATTTGAAAAATGCCAGATTCTGTCAATTTTTTTTGAACTGAATACTCTATATTTTATTGCACATTCAAATAGAGCTTTCCAAAATAAGACAATTGGTATTACAATCTATCATGTTTTGGTAAATAGTTGAGGAGCTATAAGCCATTGAAAGCATAAAACACTCAACTTTGACAGCTTGCCAGTCCATCATTTTGAAATATATAGTGATTGTATAGTCAACGCCAAACAAAGTGGCGTGCACGTCATCAAGGTGGGTGTGTTGAAAAATTTACATTGTTGCCAAACTTTTTGTAAAATAATAAAATTTATTATTTAGGTATCTAGGTTTATAAGCAATATTAACCTCAAATGAGAACAAAAATAATAGTATAATAAAATTATAGATCTGTACTTGCATAATCATTAAGAATGACAATTATTGATCAGATGACACTATGAAACTACCATATTTAATTGATAGCTTAAAGGTACTGAATAAAAATCCAAATGGGGTCCTCCAAATTTTATGCATGGTATTTATTTTACAGAATTCATACAGAAAAATGCATTCTAAAATTAGGTAAGCTACTGGTGTAAGCTTTTTCTGTACAATAAAGTTAGTCGGAGTTTCTTTCTTCAGCGCTGTCTGAATCTGAATCTTCATCACTCTCAAAGTTGATTATTAAAGGTTCGATGTCTGGTCGATCAAAAATTCGTTCTCTTTCATACCATTTAAAAATTTCTTGCTCAGTATGTCGAACACTATTTTTCCACATGTCTAGGGTAACCGTTTGTAGAGCCTCGTTCCACATATCCAAACAGTCTTTTTCACTGTTACCATCTCTACCAATATGTCTGTTATAGTAACCTTTTGCTATGCCCCAAATTAACTCAATAGGGTTAAATATACAATGGTAAGGAGGCAGACGAAGAACTTTGTGCCCATGTTGTTCCGCCAATTCATCAATCACGTATATTTTAGGTGGTTTGTTTCTAAAAAAGCAGTTATTTTAAGAATAGGAATAAACAAAAGAAATATAAACTGTCGACCAAAATATATATATAATTAAGAAGCATTATGTACCGAGCAACAATACTCAATAGCTCTGTTTTAAACATTGTGTTTAAGAATGGTATGTTTTGATTTGTCAACCAGTCTTGGATATTTTTTTTTGTCCATGCATTGTTGGGCACTTTGTTCAATATCATGCTGTGATAAGGGGCGTTATCCAGTATAATCATAGATGGACTCTCCAATTTTTCTAATAACTGATGTTGAAACCATTTCAAAAAATTGTCCTGGTTCATCTCTCCATGGTAATCGCTCAATTTTGTTTTCGAAGAAAATATCGCTTCACTACCCTCAATAAACCCATTTTCATTTCCAGCATGTAATATAATGTATCTAAAATATATTAGTTTTAAATTTTATAGTGCAAATTGTGTAAAAGTACATACCTTTTACCATCTGTTTTAATAGCTTTCACGCTTTTTTGGTTTCCATTTTGCCAAGAGCGACCTATGGTCCCATTTTGAAATATCCAAGTTTCATCGAGGAAGACAAACTGGTATAAGGCCTCAACCTTGGCTTGATTGTATTGCCTTAGAAATTCCACCCTTTTCAAAGCTATACTTGGTAGTTCCATGAGCCCTCGTCGCGGATTGTCCTTAAGCCACTTAAATCCAAGATCTCTAAGCAACCGCCTTAAAGACGTGGCACTACCATCAAATAATGCCCTATCTCTTAATCGAGACCATAAAGTTTGTATCGTAACTTGTTCTTCTGAAACCATGTGTAATATGACATTATAATTTAGTTAACAAATCAATGCAAATTTCTGATAAGTTATTATAATAAGATCTTACTTTTGTGATACATATTATAGATCACTTCTCGAATGGCACTTGTATCCAATGTCGCTGTGTTGGTTACACGTTTAATATAACTCCGCTTTTTCTTGGGCGATTCTAAATTTGCATTACTTTTCACACCCTCGGAAATACGACTAACTGTCCTTAAACTAATTTTTAAAGCAGCAGCAACACGCTACAAAAAATGAAATAAAATTTCACTATTATTAATATACATTACATATAATTATTAGTAACCTACCTCTTGAACAGCATTTAAAGGCAACAAAGGCCCGTTGTTGTCCCTTTCTTGCTCAAAGTAGTGCATTAACGAGGCCACGAGTTCCTTACACCAACTATTTAACTGTTTGGGCATCTTTATATACCAAAATTGCCTTTATCTACTCGGAAAATGAATAATTTTGTTCTGAAACAAACAGTTGTTGATTTACAGTATGCGGGGCCAAAGGATTTATAAAGATTTGAAATGCCACAAATTGATTCAGTGTCAAAATTATTACAAATGTCAGTTCCCAGTTTAAATAAGTTTCAAGGTGACAATGTGTCAACGCTGCGAAATCGGTTTAGTGCGTTTACATGTCGATAAGTGATTGGAGCGTTTGCAAAACATTTTATTTCGCATAATGCGTCTAAATTTATCAGAAAGCAACTTATGTGATATTTTAATAACAATGTTTATATGACTATTAACCATAATAAGAGAGTAATGACCATTTTACAATTTATATATCACATTAATATGAAACTGCAATAGACCAATTGTTTGTGATAGAAACCTAGTCATTAGGTCGGGGAATTTTTATCGTGATGACGTGCACGCCACTTTGTTTGGCGTTGACTATATATTATATGGCTCAAACTGTGTTTCACAACCTCTCATTCCATTTCTAGTGTTCTAGTTCAGCTTCTTAACTTCATCCATTCAAAAAATAAAGAGTACAGAGGAAGTAAAAAAGCTACTGATTTCAGTCCGTAGCTGAATCACTTCAAGTTTTGTTCCATAATACAAACTTACTCTTCTCAATCTTACAGTGTTCTATAATAAACAATTCGCAGTATGAATTTTACAATAAATTTTTTTAAACGTTTTTTCCGTCTGTTTTATCCCAAAAGTTTGTAAACCCTCAGATTTTTTTGTGGATAAAAAAATTACATTAAGGCCATATAACTAATCTCCGTCAAATTATTTGGAAAAATGTACTGTGTGCTTAATGATGGTATCGCGTCGCGGAATCGCGTTTTTAAAAACGACTTACAAGCGATTTGATACTTATTCTACTATAAATACAATGTTTTGACTAACAACGATATGTTAGCAAACCTAACCTAAGTGAGTTAAATTTATGAGTAATAGGATTAAACTGATGCCTGAAGGGCACAACCATCAATATATAACATAGGGTTGTTTACTAAGATAAGATATAATTACACCTATTAGGAAGATATACGAGGGGCTCTCGCTATATAACTCCTCCCTGCCGAAGATGAGCAAACGGGGGATCCAAAGTTTGCGAATCCGGAACTGCTTCTTCTTCTCTACGTCTCCTTGCTTCTCCTAGCTTCTTTAAAATTTGGTAAATGATGTATCCAATGAAAGTTGATAGAAGAAGTAAAAATATGATTAGATTTGTCTTCTCTATGGGTCGATCTGGGAACTGGATACTGTCTTCGTTGATTTGTTCTTGGGATATTTGAAGATTCTGGATTGTCTTCAAGTTGAATTTTGTTACATCAACAAGGTTCTGTTTCGTGAAATTGGTCAGGCTTATAGCTGGTAACGGCAAAATTGTTTCATGGTCGATGCGATCTGAGGGATAGAACTTGTGTTGATTGATTTCTAAGCTGCATCGCTGGAGTTCTATGAGACTTAGTTGAGAAATAACTATCAGGCCGTCTTCTGGACATGACAAATGCACTGTAGTGGGCTCTCTTGGACTTATGATTACTTTAGATGAAGATATCTGCTGTACCAGAGTCTTGATTGCTGTATTCTTATTATGGGACAAGTATTTCTTCCATTTTTGATAAATTCTACTAGGCATGGATCTGCTTCTGATAAGTCTTCGTGTTTACAGAAGTATTTATTTGCGACTTCTGTGCAAAGGTGGTCTGTGTTCCAGTGGTTTTTCAAGTCGAAAAGAAGGTATTGGGATTTTGGGATTAGGGTATAATTAAATTGAAAAACAGGAAAAACACTAAAATAATGAAAGGGGTTCAAGATTAATGGTGCATAAATTTTAAATAAAATGATATCATCGAAAATAGTTACATCGGTTGTAAATAAAGTATAATAGTCAATTACGTGATCAAATTTCGGAATTCTTTAGCTACTATAATCTTTGGATAAATAATTTAAAATTGAAGAAATACTATTTGTGTCTAAAATTGCAGAATGTAAAATATGAATTTTTGCAAACGATAAGGCTGTTTGTAAATTGCTAATTATTTCATATAAAGCTTGTAATTCCAAAATAATTTTATCCACAGTGAGGCTGAGTGATAATACATTATCTTGTTCCCTTAAAATTTTATTGTTGCTGATCAAGTCATTTAGATGACTAATAATAATTTTCTCGTTATCCCTAATGGTCTGAAAAGTAATCTCATAATGAGTTTTAATATCCCTTAATATTGTTTGTTGTTTGTTTATGCGAGACTGTAAGTTCAACTCATTAGATTTAATAGTACCCAAATAATTGTTAATGATTTCTTTATCTGCGCAGTCCATCGTTCCAAACAAATATTTCGAAAGTGTACCAACACCATTGAATAAACCTCTTTTAATGCGTTTATCATGTAAAATGCCAAATTTATTGTCGATTTTATTTTTCAATGAAATAGCATGTTCCAATTTTTGTAAAAGCTGAATAAAGTGATTATGGTTTTGTCTGTTTGATTGTCTTGAAGACGTGTCGATAGGTTCTGGATTATGTGCTGGTTTATAGAGTTTTTGGGGCGAAAAACATTTGTTGAGCGTTGGGACTGAGGTGGTCCGAATATCTGTCTGTTTGTCGGGAAGTTTTGTTTAACTGGAAGGGGTTTTGGTAATGGAATAGGTTGAGATGGAAATTGTCTACTTTCATTGAAGGAAGGTTGATGAGTCTGAGTAAAATTATTTTGTGGTGAATATTGAGCGTAAAACTCCTGAGAAGGAAATTGTTCATGTATGGCTGGTGGTTGTTGATAATTAATATGTGTGGTATTAGGTTGAGTGTATGAAGGGTTGTGTCTTTGAGAGTGGTAATAATTTTGGCGTGATGAGTTATTATAATTGTAACGTCTAGGTTTGTGTGAATGTGATTGAAAGTGGCTAGGATGTCCGAAATTCTGTCTTTTTGTCAGTGCATCTATTCTCATTTCATTGTAGAAATGTTTAGTAACTACGTTTGTCGCATCTGATAAGTCGGAGGGCTGTTGAATGTCTAACAAAAGTCTAAGTCTATCGTCACAATTTGCGGTCAATACGTCTAGTGCATTTAATTCGTTTTTGCTGATAAGTAAAACTTTCTGATCAGGGGTGAGTGAAGGATCTGTCTGGATTTTAACTTCAACTCTTGATTTAATTAATTTTAATC